TATCGTTACAATACAAAGTATTAAAAAGTCGTAGATAAAAATAAATATAGAAAAGATTATTATATCATTTAATATTTTTCATTAATTAAATTGTATATTTTTATAAAATATAAATGATTAAAAATTTTCTTTTTCTAACATATTTGCTGTAACAAACTGCTGTTTCATACAAATAGATTAATATTACATTTTATATCTAAAACCCAAAAAAAAGTGTATACAATTCAAACAATAAAAAAATTTATCCTCTCTATAAATAATTAAATATAAAAAAATTGGTAATATATATTAATTGAAATACATATTATATTTTAGAAATCGAGAATTTTTAATATAAATATAGATAAGACAATTTATATATTCAAGAACTTTATTACATCTTGTAGATATAAGTAAAAATAAAGCATTTTATATAAATAATATCATATATCTAAATGTATGCTTTTATCATCGGTGCTGTCCATAATATTTTCAAAATCATAGCTAAACCTCTTTTCGATCTGATTGCACGTTGATGAACATTTCTTGTCTTCTATTTGTATTCTTTGATTAATAGGAATATATGACTCATTAATATTGCAAAATTCATCATCAGAAAAATTATCTAGTTTCTGTTTTTCATCCTTCGTATAAGCATTATTTTCTGTGGTACATGTCACGGATTCAAATTTATCAGTTTTTGTATATTCTTTTACAATATTTTCAACAGATTGGTTAGTCGATTTTATAAGTTCGCAGTTTCTTATATTAAATTGAAAAATTTGTTTGCTACATATATTCTCTATTACATTTGTTATATCCAAATCATCTTCATCTTCATCTTCGCTTATAAAATCATTGGGAGAGAGTTCATTGAACATCTTGTCTAAAGTTTTATTTAGCTTTGAATTTACTTTCTCTATCTCTAGAATTCTTTTAATTTGCGGGCCACGTTTTATTTGTTTTATGTTCGTAATGGCAAGATCTTCAGATTTATTTCTTATTTGTATTTCTTTTACTTTATTTAAAATGTTTTCCTTCTTTGATCGTTTTGGCGTAATCGCCATTTTCTCAAAGGAATCTTCTAGAGATATTTCATTATTTTTAAATATAAATTCATCAATCTTTTTATTATTTTTTTCTGTTTTCTCTTTTACTTTCTTTTGCTTTAACTTTGTAGTATTTTTTATTTCAGTATTATTGTCTGCATTTATTGTAGTTTTTTTTCTCCGAGAATTAGCAGTTCTTTTTTTCGACTTTATGTTTCTAGTATTTTCAAATACTTCAACCAATTCAGGATAACATTTTAAAACCAAGTCTTGTGGTTCAATACTTATTAATAAATTGTCATCTACAGCATCATCAATATTATCATTCTCTTTTGTTCGTTCTTTATATTCTTTTAACATTTCTATTATAGCATGCTGATTCTTCCATATAATTTCATAACTGGCTACAGATCTTATATTACGTATTTTTTTTATTTTATCAGGAATAAATAAGTTTGTCATGGACAAACGTTCACCTATTGCAAAATCTGGTAGATGTAAAAGTTGCCACCTAATAATCAATGTAAATATTTTTTCAAATGCATACTGTGGTTCCCAACATAAATGTTTATTCATAAAATCCTAAAAAATGATAATTTAAAAGAATAATAAAAAAACTATTAATATATCATAACATGTTATCATTATATGTTATCATATTATCATGTATAACAATAAAAGCTTACAACAAATTGAATGACTTGAGGTTGTTTCCATTTTAAATCTAATTTAGTTGGAACTGAATCCTTTCTGATAAGAAATTCATCTATTAATTCTTGGCTTGGAAAATTTTGGTTATGCAGCGCTTTCTTTTTTAATGATATTTCATTTAATATCAATGTTCTCTTTTCCCTATATAAAGATATAAAATATCAAAAATTATTATTTCTAAAGAAACAAATATAAATATAATATAATAATTTTTACCTAAAATCATCATTACATTTCCTAATAGTTCCACAATCGACACAACCTGATTTTGTATGTTTTTGTAATTTTCCATGATGACCACACGATGCACATAAATTTGAATTTAATAAGTTTGATTCAGCTTTGTCCAAACTTGTGTCAGTTCTCCAATCCTGAATTCTAATGAAAAAGAGAACAAGAAAATGATTCAAATGTTGTCATAAGATTTAATGAATTCTATAAACATATCCTTAGTGCATCTATACAAACCTTTGTAAGACATCTTCCTCTTTTACAGTCTTGAAAAATTTTAAAGCAGCCTCCTTTCCAACACCATTCACTCCCTCATCATAATCGCAACCACATAGTAAAGCCAATGCTATCATTTTATTTCGTCCAATATTCAAAGTTTTTTCAATCTTTTCCATGCTATAAATGTCCACAGAGCCACCTGTAGAACCACCATTTCCTTGAGTACTCGTGCAAAAGTTTCTGTACACTACTTTTGCACCATATAAGAAACAGTCGCTGTCTTGACTTATACATCCATCTACAAGCTGAAGAAGCATCTTCTTTTATCTAAGACAATCAATAGCTTTTTGATAAAAAATAATTTAAGTATATAAATGTACCCCATCCTCATCTAAGTAGGCACACATAGCTTCTGCTTCACCATTGCTTTGTATACAAGCAATACCCATATATCTCAATAATTCTTTACATTCGTTTAAAATTCGATTAAACTGTGACCTCCCTCCTTTCTTAGCAGTCTTTCTCTCCTGAAATTTACTACGAACATCATTTCTTCGTGCAATAGTCTTATGTTTCAAGGTAGGTGCTTTCCCTTCCAAAATAAATACTGGAAATATTCCATGCATGAGAAGGAACGCCGTACGAAAGTACAAGTTCCTACAATTGGAGTCATATAAATGACAATTTATCAATAATACATACATATTACAAGAAAATATAAAATGTATTAACATTGTTGTTTAATTTACTATTGTTCATTTCTATAAATATAGATTAATCACACTTTAATCACAGTTTATTTGTCTCATTTTTCTTTAATTCTAAAAATTAGAAAAAATAAGATAAATTAAACCAAAATTAAAATTAATTCTAAATTAGTAAAAATGGATATATATGACTCTGTTATTTAATTTACATCTATTTTAATAAATAAAAATAAATCAAATCAAAAGATTTATAAGCAGATATTCACCTGAGATACATCTTCGGTTGTACCGCATTGTCGACAATCGTTTGGCTGTCCACAACCCATCCGCTGAGATCGATCGCGATAGTCTTCCCTTCGAGTTCGTACAGCGGCTTCCTTTCGCACAAAGGCGACAAAATGTTCCACAGATCCTTAACACCCATCTCGTATCAAGGGTATTTACTTATTTTCAAATTAACTGTCAGCGTCGCAACGTAAATTCACTCTCGTGCCATCTCGTACAGCTAACATGAATACGATGCATTCCACTTTTACTGGTAACCGATAATAAAGCGACTCACATTTGCATATTTTGCTGTTGCATTATGATTTTGTCTCGACTCATGCAGTTTTCATTGCCACAAGTCATCTCGAAATAGCTGTGTGACAGTTTTATAATTAATAACAAATAATACGTAAAAACTGAAAAAAAGGAATGATCTGAAATAAGGTAAATATGCAGTACTTACATTGCAATGTTATATTGAATATTTATTGGAAATACAAACTCATTCTCTGAGATGATCATTGAATGCATCGAAATACCTGGCGAATGTTTTATCGAAATCTCGAGAGTGCAGGATCACGTGCACGTTGTTTCTGTGACATTTCGAGAATCTGCATTTCTTTCACGTTACAAATAACTTCTATTTATAGCAATTCACGAAGATGAGAGGAAAATCATGCATGCACAAAAATAGAACGTATTTGCTGTGATCAAACGACATTTATAACCTGAACTGAGTTTTGCAAAACTAACTAATTAATCTCGTGAAAGACATACATCGACGTTAACAAGACATAAGATGATCGGCAAAGACGGCGACAGTAGTTTGCCACTACCAGCAGAAAAACTGCCAGAATGTTGGAACCAAGAAGAGAGGATGAGCGCAATGTTTTCACCGTTTCGTAGTAAATCTGCAAATCCGCAAGATTGGATTTCTAAGTACAAATTTTGGAATAATTTAATATATGAATGGTTAAAACACACTATGCAATGCAGCTTTACTATTGTTGATTTAAATGAAGCATTCAAGAGAAAGGGCTGTGCACCACTTTGTCTAATTACAGTAATCGAAGAGCTTCTAAGGTATTACGATTATTAAATATATATCAAATTTTGTACATACTGTACAAAATACTAAATTTTGCAAACAAATCAGATATGAGACAATATAATAAAGACTGTTATTTGTAATAAAAATACCATAATTTAAAATTTAATGTTTTATTATATATAACTTGTTTTATATTATACATATAATATATATAGATGAATTTTTTTAGAAATAATGAGATAATTCAAGAGACTGACTTTTTTAAAGAACCATGTGAAACATGGACAGCATGGTCTATCAACATATTTGTAAAGAAACCAATTAGTTGGTCATTTTCTAAGGTAAAAAGTTATATTGTGGGCCAAAAGATAAATAACATTGAAGTAAGATATGTACATCTACGAATTATGCACGAATTATGTGATGTTATTCTCTCCATTGCTGAAGTTAAAAAAGATATTGTCTTGTTTTCAATATCAGAAATAGTAGAATATTGTAAGAGCAAAACAAAGAAACCAATTACAGAGGATACAGTGAGAATAGCATTGGAATGGTTAAGACAAAGTAGAAAAGTGGCTTTCAGAAAGAACTCCAATCCAAATAGCGAATTATTAGTCAAAATCTCTGTGCAAACAGCAAATGAAATTACAGAGATAGAAGAGGGCATGTATAAATTGACAAAACAGGAGAATGAGCTGATTAAGGAAATAGAGCTTATGGAGCAGGAGAAGCTTAACATTATCAACGAAGCGAAATTGTACTTGGGAAGAGAATTACGTCAAATGGCGAAGACACGGTTGAGGAGAAAGATGGAATTAGAAAAGTCCATAGACAAACGTGCACAGGCGCTTACAAATCTACGCGTTCTCATCACCAACATTAAAGATGCGCAATCTAATTCTGCTATATTATCCGCTTATAAAACTGGATCCGATGTATTGAAAAAGATGGGACAGAACGGTCTAAACAGAATATGGTGTTAGAGATGTATGGATGACATTAACGAGGT